ACACACACACACACACACACACACACACACACACACACACACACACACACACCGCCTGCTCGCGTCATGCTGCTTGTGCTGGTGTGGTTGTGGAAAGTTTGTGAAAACAGCACCCAATTATCTTTCGACGTGGAAGTTGATGACTTCTGCTCTGACTTCTTGCAACCCAAGCAAGCGGATACAAATCACACGCTGCAAGCCCTCACGCTCTTGCTTCAGTCTGTCAGCCTCCTCTTCACACCACCCGCCATGCTTGCCCTGGCTGTGGCTCGCTGTGGCCGTGCGCTGTGGTCGCACGCATGCCTCCGCACCCCGGCCTCCCTCTCGTCCTTTCGTACACTCCCCACCTCCGCCGCTGCATCCGCTGGAGCGGTGACAAAGGATTCCACTGTGTCGCAGTTTGCGACTGTGCGCATCAGCAGCTCCATCCCCGTTCACGTTCAGAGCCTGGAGCCTGCGCGCAGGCCAAGCGCCCTCAAGGAAGATGCTTCGGTGGACGACAGAACACGCGTGCACATCGAGCTCAAGTAAGAATCCACCCATCGTGTGCGTGCGTTGTGCGTGTGTGTGTATGCGGTGGCAACTTGCAGCTGCAAACGTGTGAGCTGTGCGCTGTGAGCTGTGAGCTGTGAGCTGTGCGCTGTGAGCTGTGAGCTGTGAGCTGTGAGCTGCGAGCCGCGAGCTGTTCTCTCTCTCTTGCCCCCTCTCTGTTTCCCTCCCCTGTCTTTGTTTCTCTTCTGTCCTTCTCCTGTCCCTCCCCATCTCTCCGGTTCTTTCCTCTCTCACGCACTTGTATTTATTGATTGCCTTGTGGCGAATAGGCCAGATCGTAGCATGCACGGTGGCTTGACACAGGACGACCTGTGCATCGACCACGAGGGCGAGAATCTCGTCGTGAAATGTCATCGCCAAGGCGCAACCCTCAATGTCTGGGTTCCATTTTCGTGTGGTATGTAGCTGTAGCTTTGTCTGCTTGTGCCGTGAATGTGCAATGAGATGCCCGTTATTCTCTTGTTGCAGATCGGGGGAGGGCACTGTGTGCGCCAGTGCTTGTGTGTGTTTATGCGTACGCACGTGTTTATGCGTGTGTGCTTGGCGGTGACAATGTGGCGGACGCGTGCAAAGCCGCGAGTGTCCCTCCCTCCTCCTCCCGGCTGTGTCACCCTCTTACCCCAACGGCACCCAATTTGCTCCAACACTCACTCACTCACACACACACACACACACACACACACACACACACACACACCCACGCTCACACACACACACACACACACACACACACTCACTCACTCACTCACTCACTCACTCACTCACTCTCTCTCTCTCTCTCTCTCTCTCTCTCTCTCTCTCTCTCTCTCTCTCTCTTATTCACTCACACACACACACACACACACACACTTTCTCTATCGTCAGGAGTGGATGCTGAGCTGAAGGAGGCAGACGAAAGCAGCAGCCCTGCCGACTTGATTGTGAGCAAGATGGAGGGCGGTGCCATCTCCTTCAAAACCGGCCGAGGTCTCGTCTCGTCCTGCCTTGTCTTGTCTTGCTTGTCGCACAACGCAACACTGCACTGTGTACAACACGTTTGGGCAGTGAGTGCGTGGGCGCCTGTACAGCCGTCAAAGCGTCATACCCAACACCAGCATCCATGCCTTGATGGTCACCTGGCGAGCGAGCGAGCGGTCATCGCCCACTCAATGAACTGTTGGCTCTCTTGGTCGTTTGCTCATTGGTCTGCTCGCCTGCTTACCGACTCCACCTGTTTGCCTTCCCTGCAACCTTCGCTTGTGCTTGCGCTGCAGGCTCGTGTTTCCTGGCGGGTGTGAAGACATCTGCTGTGAACGGCACTTCGGACGCCGGCAACCTCGTCATCGACAGCTTGCTCGTGTGTACGCTGCAGTGATATGTCAGTGCTCCTTGCCGCGCTTGCCCAGCGGTGTTGAGCATCGTCATCATTGTTGCTGCCATACCACCATGATCACCGCTCTTTACTCGCACTCCTTTACCGTAATCCCACCACCACCACCCCGCAACAACAGCAGTGGCAATAATCCTAGCAGCAATTGCAATTGCAACACTGCACAGCTTACGCGTCTACCTCCTACCACGCACACACACACACACACAACACACACACACGCACACATACCAACAGGGGAATGTGAGCTATCAGAGCACGACTGGCAGTGTCTTTGTCCGTCGTGTGCAGAGCCAAGAAGTGCGTGGCGTGGGCATTGTTGCTGCTTGACTGCGCGTCTTCCAACAACGTGCTTGCATGCATAACTAACTAATCACACAGTACACCTCAGCTTGGAGTGCACCCACCCCTCATATGGGCGATCCAGCACACATGTCGTTCACATCCCACGCATTGACACACCTGTCCACCGCACGACCGCACAGTTTGACGTTGAGCTCGCGAGCGGAACTGCGTCTGTGGAGGCGCTGTATTCGGATGTGACGCGAGTTGCGACGGAGAGCGGGCACATCAGTGTTGGCGACGCACACGGGCCGGGGTCCTATCGCTCAGACACAGGCGACATCACCCTCGGTTGGTTTCAAGCGCGCGCGCGTGTGTGTGCGAATGGTTGGGTGTGCGTTTGGTCATGTGTGGACGTTCGTGTGCAGGGGCGAGTGTGTGCGTAATTATGTGTGTTTGCACATGTGCATGGGTTTGTGTGTGTGTGTGTGTGTGCGTGTGTGTGTGTGTGTGTGCGTGTGTGTGTGTGCATGCAACTGAGCGTGTGCTCGTGCGTGTGTTTGCGACGCTGGTGCGCATGGAGCATGCATCTGCAACACATTTACGCGTGCATCTCAATGTCACACCACAACGTTCCGTGACACGCCTCAGGCACGGTGGATGGCCCCATGGATGTGTGGACGCGAACTGGAAACGTGTTCATGCATGTCGCGCGCGCCGTCAACGGCACTGTCAACAGCGACTCAGGTATTGACAACACTGAGCAGATGAACCCGAGAGAGAGTGTGTGTATGAGTGTATGAGTGTGTGTGTGTGAGCATGTGTGTGTGTGTGTGTGAGCATGTGTGTGTGTGTGTGTGTGTGAGTGAATGGGACAGGAAGCAGAAGAAGTGCATGCATCGTCTGGGTTTGTTGAGACCTCCGTAGTTAGACCCATGTGTGATTTGTGATGAGCACCAACTCTGACCTTCATATATGATTCACTTCCATCCAACCATCATGCACACGAACGAAATTATTTCGTCACCACAACTGTAGGAGCGGTTGAAGTGGCCTGAGGTGCTGTATTGCACGCGCCCCCACACGCGGCGGGGGGTGCACCCCAATGACGCCACCGCCACCACCACCACCAGCAACGGCAGCAACGGCACGGGACGACCACTGGCAACAACAGCGCTGGAGCTCCGGCGCAAGAGCGGGGGGAAGCACGATGGACGCCACGGCGAAATTGAGCTGCAGGTTGGACGCGCCATCACCGAGGACGTGCCGCACACGGGCACCATCACCGTCACGCACGCGCCGGGGAAGCTGGCCGTGAGCTGCGAGTCGTACATGCAGGCGGTGATGGGCAAGCGCCGCAGCATCATCACAAATATGCGCGCAGCGTGGCCGCAGCCGTCACGCACGTGATTGCACACACACACACACACACACACACACACACACACACACACACACACACACACACACACACATGACACATGCGTGCGGATGTTCTTGGAAATGACATGTGTGGCTGTGTTTGCCTCAATTGTTGTGTTGCTGTCCCATACACACGGTTTATTATTGGCGCTTGCACACACACACACACAAATGCACAAATGCACAAATACACACACACACATACACGCAAACACACACAGTAATCGGTTACACTAAACCATGACACACTACAACCAAATGAGGACGGGTGGATGGCTCAACTCAGACCTACCATAGTTAGTCATGAAAGTCGTTGGACAGGCAGGCAGGCAGACACACATACACAGACATACAAAGACATACAAAGACGTACAAAGACACCCCCCCCCACACACACACACACACAGAGGCCCAGCCAGCCTGCGAGCGCTGCTGGATCACTTGTGGTCGTCGTCGTCACCGATGAGACGGGTGAGGAGATGGTCGCCAGGCTCCTCCGGCTGAAGATACCTGTGATAGCCGCAGCGGTGGTGGTGATGGTGGTGATGGTGAGGAAACAAGGCCGGGTGAGTTCATGGTGTCATTCTCCTAATGAAGCGCAATGAAACACAACACAACACAACACAACACAACACAACACAACACAAAACAACACAACACAACACAACACAACACAACACAACACACGCACAGAGCACAGCACGGCATAACACCCCTTGTCCTTTTCCTCAACGCACTTATCAGCGAGGAAGGAGCGCTCTGCCAAGACGCGTGTGAGCTCGTGCGGGGCGAGTACGGGCCGCGCACTGCGGAGAAAGTTGACCAGCTTCACCCTGCTGTAGAAGTCAAGGCGATGCTTTGCCATGACAGCAAGCAGGTCGCACCCGTGCACCTGGCGCATGTGTCGCAGCACGTGGTCCGGGTGCATGCACACGGTTGAGCAGAACAGGCACGATGTGGGCGCCTTCTCGCTCTCCAGCCACGTGCGCCACTCCCCTTCATCATCACCACCATTGTCATCATCGTCGTCAGCACCACCACGGCGCTGAATGCGGCGGTGCGCGGATCCCCCGTGCCCGCGCCAACTGCTGCTATTCACAGCACCTCGCTCGCGACCGTGCCCCCATCGCTGCCGCTGCCCGCGCTCGCCACGCCCTTTTCCTTCCATTTCCATTCCCTTTCGCGTCACGGCACCAGTGTCACCGCGTGGTGCTGATGTCTGCGCAGGTGCTCTGGCAGCCGCGACTGATGCCAGAGCTGCATCCGCGTCGCCAATGCTCCCTGCCTGTGTCGGCTCCCCTACTGCCGCTGTACAAGCTGCACAATCTGTAGCTGGTGCAGTGGCCGTTGTGCTTGTCGCGGTTGTGCTGGTTGTAGCAAGCGTGCTGGTTGTGGCTGGTGTGCGCCGCCAAGCACCCTCGTCTCGCTGCTCGCTCCGTGGTGGTGCGCATGTGTCCGTGTGTGAACCAGTCTCCGCCCCGCTTTCCGTCTCACCACCACTGCCATCATGATGCTGGTGCTGGTGCTGGTGCTGGTGGCGTTGCCTGCGTTTCTGCTTGGAGTGCTGTCCGCTCTTTCCCACACGCTCCCTCTGCATCACCTCATCATCATCCGTGTGCCCCTGGTGCTGCTTATGGTGTTGGTGCGGGACACGAGCAGCCGGTGATGACGACGATGACGACGGCGTCGCGTGCTGGTGCGATTTGCCTCTGCCTCGCTGCGTCTTGTGCTGTCTTTTTCTTCGCCCACTGCCCCTGCGACTGCCACCACCGCTGCTACTGTTACCGCCGTCACTCGACTGGGCGCCGTCGGATGTGCCGCCTCCATCACCATCGTCGTCAACAATTGTCTGCCACGGCGTCCCGGGATCCTGTGCACAGCAGCGGCGTGTGAGTGAGTGAGTGAGTGAGTGAGTGAGTGAGTGAGTGAGTGAGTGAGCGAGTGAGTGAGTGAGTGAGTGAGTGAGTGAGTGAGTGAGTGAGTGTGTATGTGTGTGAGTGTGTGCGTACGTGAGCGAGTGTGTGTAAGTATGTGTATGTGTGTAAGTAGGTGTATGTGTGTAAGTATGTGTATGTGTGTATGTGTGTATGTGTATGTGTGTGTGTGAACGTGTGTGTGAATGTGTGTGTGTGTGTGTGTGAGTGTGTGTGTATGTAAGTATGTGTGTGTGTGCGTGTGTGTGTGTACTGTCGTTGGGCAGTGGAATGTGGCACAGCCGTTCTGTGGCACAACCGTTCTGTGCCGCTCACGCTCTCTTCCATCCCCCGTCCCGATTCCCCACAGTTCCAACGTCCAATGCGCGCACCGTGTAAGTGATGATGTAGTGCTCGTCAAAGGTGTGGTCGTTTGGGTTGAGCTTGTAATGCCTCTTCTTGCGGAGATGCGCCTTGAACTTTGGCCAGTCGTCAAACCGCTTGCAGCAATACGGGCAGATGCGCTCGCACACGCGTGCCTGTTTGCACAGAGACACCCGACAGCGGCAAGGTGGAGGTGGACACACACATGTGGTCAGAGGGCGAGGCTGGCCGTGACGCAAGCATGGGCACACACGCACGCACACATGTGAAAACACACACACACACACACGCACGCACGCACACACACACCACGCACACGCACACGCACACACTCACCTACACACGCACACACATGCGCACACACATGTGAAACAAAGGGTGTAGCGAGCAACCAGGATTGGGAATACGTCCTGCTCCCAACGCACAGCAACCCACCTCAATTTTGTCGAGCAGCTGGTGGATGTGAACAATGTTGTCTGGCAATCCGATGTTGAAATGGTGGCGGGAAAACAAGTGCTGTCAAGCATCCACACATGTGTGTGGGTGTGGGTGCGCGTGTGTATGGTGCGTGGATGAGACGAGGCAATTCTAACACGAGTTTCAAGTGCGCAGAGCCAAGCGACATGCCAAACGATGCACAATGCGCCCATCATCTCCATATGAACACGGTCAGAGGACAGACATGCAGAAGAAGAGGCATACGCTCACACAGGGTATCCACACATTGACAAACACACGCATACCGCGGCACAATCACTCATCAGTACGCAAATACACACACACACGCACACACACGTCGAGAAAGGGGCGAACGCCATCGATGGGATCAGCGTCCTTGCAGAAGAAGCAGCGCCGAGAGAACGGCTGGCTGCGTTCAAGCCGCTTGCACTCCAGGACTTGTTTCTATCGCCGTCACATGCATTGGTAGGGGATAAGTTGGCGCCAACGTGAGCACTGCCTTGAAAGGGAAGGGCGGAGGAACACCATGTGAGTGGATGCAGCGCGCCAAGCGAACAAGCACCAGTTACACGCCGTACATACAAGCCGCTTGTCGTTGAAGAGCTTGCGTAGCCGGATGTCAGCAGCAGATCCCCCGAGCATGTACAACTTGTCTGCGCACAACATGAGTCCAGCAGCACAAGCGAATCAGTGTAACGACAAACGCCAGTTCATGCAAAGGCAGCTTGTCCCCCCCACACACACACATATATACGCACACTTATGCAGCTGTAAGTTTCCTTGGGCAACGCTTCAAAAACACAACACTACCTTCTGAAGCGTGGATGGGGTCGTCTGAGGGAGCTGTTGCTGCTGCTGTTGTTGCTGTTGCTGAGGGCTGTGTGCCGGTTGACTGTTGTTTCGCCGTTTCTGCTTCGGAACGCTGCAGAACAGAGCACATGGCAGCCAAAGGCGCCGTTGAGGCTTGCTGCTCCTGCTGCAAGTACGCCTTCCGATAGTAGCTCAAATACCTGCCCAGCAAGCAGTCCAAACCGGCACGTTAGGCTTTCTTGACAGACGTGCGGCGCACGTTACGGTTCATGTGCGGCACATGTGCGGCACACGCACAACTTCTCCACCACAAACCCAAGCACACACACACAAGCACACGCACAGACACACAAGCACACACAAGCACACACGGACACAGACACACACAGACACACACAGACACACACACAGACACACACACACACAGACACAGACACACACACACACACACACACACACACACACACACACACACGCACGCACGTCCAACCCCCCCCCCTCTCTCTCTCTCTCCAAACCGTTTGCAACTCACTCTGGCAGGTTGGAGATTTTGTGGACATCGTTGATGACCAAGGAGTGGGCACCAAGCATATGCACCAAGACCTGTTCCCGCGGTCCACAATGCACTTGGCCACACACGACACACACATGCACCTCCGCTGCGCGCAACGCGCATCCAGCACACCCGCCGCCGCCTTCTCTGCCGGCCATGCCGAAACTTTATGCGTATTTTCAACCAATCGCCAACAATCATCATCGCCCCTGTTCGAAGGACTGCCCACCATCCATTGCTTGGTTGTGTTGGCGTTGCTGCTGTTTGGATTGTTTGTTTGAACCACATACAGCAACCAGCAGCAGCAGATTCCTCGTGCCTCAAACCCTCCTCGCGCGCGCTGGTTGATGTGAATGTCGACGATGCTGAAAGGTGGAGAAACAGCAGGCCCAAAGATGGGCCCACCGCTGCTGATTCAACCGGTGAGAAAGGCGAACACGCCGTCCGTCATAGCTTCTGTGGCCTTTTGTCTTGCTTGTGTTGTGTTGGGTTACGTTGCACGTCAAGCTGCACGTCACCGTGGCTTACACGTTCATGCTCGTTAATTGGGGGATCTATTGCATGGTTGCAGAAGAGCGCCTCAGACCTGGTGAAGAAGAGCCGGCTGGGCGTGGCTGAGCCGTACGTCGTGGCGAAGGTTCGTGTGTGTTCTCTCTTTCCTAGGTGTGCTCTCTTTCCGACGTGTTCTCTCTTTCCAACGTGTTCTCTCTTTCCAACGTATTCTCTCTTTCGTGCGTGTGCTCTCTTTCATGCACACACACACACACACATGCACACTCGCTCTGCTCGGGCAACTCCATACATGATCGCCATCCACGACCGTGTGTGAGAGGTGTACGCAGATGTTCCCCTCCCCCCAACGCAAACTCTTACTTGGTTGCCCAGCAATCATTCTTTGTTGATGTGGTAGAGTGCTCCGCTGACGTTCAGCATTCTGTTTACCCATCTTGAGAGCATGATAACAAACCTGCCGCCTTGTTACACACACACACATACACACACACCTGCTCTGTGCTTTGTCGCTGTAGTTGACACAAGTTGACCCAATGGTTGTGTCGAAGCCCTCCATGTGTGGAACTCGCGCCCGCACACGACATGCCGTAGGATTGAACCCAACGGTGCGTGCATGTTCGTATGGGTGATGGCATCCGTGTGTGCTGCCTGTGTGCGTACTCTGTGTGTGTGTGTGTGTGTGTGTGTGTGTGTGTGTGTGTGTGTGTGCTTGTGTGCGTGTGTGCTTGTGTGCGTGTGTGCTTGTGTGAGAGGGCCTTGAGGGTCCTCCTATCTTTTGTGTGTTTATATTCTCCTCGCATGCGAATTCGTGGCCTCTTACATTCACTCACGCTCATCCTATCGGCCCACCTTGCGACAAATTTGCTTGTGCGTTTGTTTCCTCACCGCATACTTTTGGTCTTCATTCGCACGTGCTGCAGTGGGACGACGTGCTGCAGCTCAACTGGAAAGTCGAAGGCCACATTGATGAACACAACGGCCCGCACTACTTCCTCCTTCTGCAAATCTTTGACAGACATCGCCTTGGCCGTGACAGCTTCCTCGGACAGGTCTGACACACACACGCACACACACACACAGACACACAGACACAGACACACACACACACACACACACACACACAAGCACACGCACACACACACGCACACGCCAACGGCGCTGCAATGCAGTCATGTCATGACTCTTCCAACAGCAGTGTCCATATGGTTGTGTTCGTGCACTGAAGCCCACGTGAAACTGAGCACAGATGACAGGCACATGCACACACAAGCACACGTGCAACTATCATCACACACTCATACACGCCCCATGTTTGCGCCTATGCCGCTGTGCTTCATGGTAGGCGGTGTTGAATCTGCGACTGCTGCCCCCGAGTGCACGCTCCTTCTCAGACACGCCCGCCGTGCTGAACATTCCCCTTCGCCCGCGCACAAGAAAGCAGCGCGTCAGCGGCCACCTGCGTGTTGCTGTCGGCTATGACCTGGGCGCTGTAGGTGGAGGCGCAGGCAAGCGCACGACAGCAGCGACGAAACGCGGCCAGCCCGAGTCGTTCTCGGCGTCGCCAGCAGCCACAGCGCACGCACAGCCGCTCGATCTTGGCTTTGCAAAGATGGTGGGACATGCGGAGCCATCGTCCGCAACGACTCACGCACGGGATGGCCGCGATGACCGCAATGGCAGCGGGACGGCGACTGGCGGCACCGGTGCTGTCTCATCAGCAGAGGCGGCCAGAGCAGCAGCGGAAGACGCAGTGGAACTGGACGAACCATCCACAGATGACGCAATCGAGCAACGCCCCCTGCCTGAAGGGTGGGGCACGAAGACAGACCGCCAAGGCCGGCTCTTGTACGTGAACCACAAGCTGCGGCGCGTGACATATCGCCACCCACTTGATATCCGCCGCTCAAGCAGAAGAACCAGCAGTGGAAGCGCGCGCATATACTGCGCACAAGTGTCGCCGCACCCCCGTGGTGACACGGGTGATGCAAGCGACACGTGTGAGGACGACGTGTTTGTGCAGGTGGAGGAAGTGCCGATTGCCACGACCACCACCACGACCACCACCAGCAATGACGACGAACATACACGTGCACATGACGCATCACACGGAAGCAGCGCCGGGCGCGGTGTCAACGATGTGAGCAGCGCCGATGGCCGAGGTGGCCACGACACCAGCGATGAGCAAGGTGGCCGTCATGCAAATGACGATGGCGCTGCGGTGGAGTCGTCGACGTTTTCTGTTGAGGACGCGCTGCCGCCGGGCTGGGTCAAGTCCAAGACGGCCACGGGCAGGTGCGAAGTGTTTCGTTCGTGTGTGTTTGCGTGTGCGTGTGTGTGTGTGGGCGGGGTTGTGTGTGTGTGTGTGTGTTTGCGTGTGTGTGTGTGTGTGTTTTCTTTGACAACTCGGCTGATTCCCCTGCGTGCTGCGGTGCTGTGCACGCCCACACCCCATTCTGGTTGCCTGCAGGGTGTTCTTCATTGACCACAACACGAAGCGAACAACCTGGGATGATCCACGCACACATTACCGACGTAAGCACGCCACAACATATTTGGGGGGGGGGGATAGCGAGCATGTCAGGGGTGCACGCACACGTCAGTTGCAGTTGCATCGTAGTGAAGAACGCATATTTACAGTCAGGGTGGGATTTCTGTTTCTGCATTCTTCAGTGCTACCCGCACGTTGTTTCTGTCCACACACATTCACACACACACACACACACACTTGGCTCCTCCTTCTGTCACACACACACATACACATATGTGTGCGCAGGGATGGGTGTTGGTGAGAATGCGGTGAACTTGCCGCGCGTGCGTCGGTTGCAGCCAGCGGACAGCCTGTCCGATTTGGGCATGCTCCCTGCCAAGTGGGAGGAGCGGCAGACAGAACGCGGGCGGCGGTACTTTGTGAACCACCGAACGCGCACGACGCAGTGGGAGGACCCGCGCACTGGATTGCCGCCATCAACGGCCGACGCGGGCGTGAGCGCCATCTTCTCCCAGGCGTTTGTGGACAAGAAGCGACACCTCCACTCGCTCATCAAACGAACGAGACCACGTGGCAAGGTGTGGTGTGGTGTATGTGCGTGTGTGTGTGTAGTGTGTGTGTGTCGTGTGTGTGTGTGTGCGTGCGTGCGTGTGTGTGTGTGTGTGTGTGTGTGTGTGTGTGTGTGTGTGTGTGTGTGTGTGTGTGTGTGTGTCGTGTGTGTGTGTGTGTATTTGCTGGCATGTCGGTAGTGGGCGGGCATCTGCAGTCAGCCTTGGTGGCCGTTGTGTGAGTATTGCCGAGCCCATCTCCTCACACACATGCATTCTCGCGCGTGCGCACGTGTGCAGTGCGACATCAGCGTGAGTCGCAGCCGCATCTTTGAGCAGTCGTACAGCGCCGTGCTCGGCATGTCCCCTGACCAGCTCCGCAGGGAACTCAGGATCACCTTTGAAGGTGGGGCTGGCTTGGGGCGCGCGCGTGTGTGTGTGTGTGTGCGTGTGTGTGTGTGTGTGTGTGTGTGTGCGTGTGTGTGTGTGTGTGTGTGCGTGTGTGTGTGTGTGCGTGTGTGTGTGCACACATGCGTCTGTTCGCGTCTCTCCTGTGTGTGTGTGTGTCTTCATGTGTCTGTGCGCGGCTGTGTGTTCCTGCATCTGTGTATGTGTCTGCTTGCTGTGCTTTGTTGTAACGTTGGGTCACATGAGCACGTGCTTGGCGTATTCCTTCGTTTGCGTGTGTTGTTGCGTTTACGGTAACGCCAGAGGAGCGCGGCCTTGACTTTGGCGGGCCGACGCGCGAATGGTTCTACCTCCTCAGCCACGAAATGTACGTGTTGCACACACACACACACTGACATCCATGTGTGAGCCAATCAATGCGGTTCTGCGTTGCGCCATGGCCTCATCCCGCCCCCTCCCTTGTTCCCATTCCTACTTCACAGGTTCAACCCGTACTACGGGTTGTTTGAGTACAGCGCCGCCGATAGCTACACGCTACAGATGAGTCCCACCAGCAGCGTCAACCCAGACCACCTGCGCTACTTCCAGTTCATCGGGCGCGTTGTTGGCATGGCCATCTACCACGGCAGGCTGCTCGACGTCTTCTTCATCCACCCTTTCTACAAGGTGTGCTGTGTGTCGTGTATATGTGTGTGTGTGTGCGTGTGTGTGTGTGTGTGTCGTGTGTCGTGTGTCGTGTGTCGTGTGTGTGAGTGTGTGTGTGCGTGCGCGCGCGTGTGTGCATGTATCCCACGGTCTGGTTGTTCGAAATGCCTCATAACCCGCGACCATCGTCATCACCGCCACTGCCACCACCAGATGATGCTGCGCCGCCACATCGCGCTGGCCGATGTGGAGGTGGTGGATGCAGATTACTACCGCTCTCTTCAGTGGATCCTTGACAACGACCCAACCCAACTCGAACTCACCTTTGAGGTCCGCAAACGCACACACACACGCACACATGTTCACATGTTCACATTCAATGCCTGTGACACACGCACACACACACACACGCACACACACATGCACACACACATGCACACGCACGCACACATACTCTCTTAACTCCAACATTCAACGTTCCCGCTCACCATGTGTACTCGGTTTTTTGTGCGTGCAGGTTGATCGTGAAGAGTTTGGAACGGTGACACATATTGAACTCAAGCCTGGTGGTGCCGACATTCCCGTGACGCAAGACAACAAGGAGGAGTATGTGAACCTTGTTGTGAAACACAAGTTTGTGGACCAGGTCGCCGCACAAATGGACGCGTGAGTGCTCATTGATTATTGTGTGTGTGTGTGTGTGTGTGTGTGTGTGTGTGTGTGTGTGTGTGTGTGTGTGTGTGTGTGTGTGTGTGTGTGTTACAGGTTTCGTTCTCGAGGTGACTTGCGTCATTTTTTGATGTTCGCTCTGCCCCTCTGCACACCTCGGCTACATTGAATTCTGCCCGGCACTGTCTCACCTCGTCCTGTCATGATGGTTTGATATGTGTGGATGGTTCTTTTTTGTGCACATGTGTGCGGGTGCGTGTGTGCAGGTTCATGGAGGGCCTGACTGCGATTGTGCCCCTGGATTGGCTGGAGCCGTTCACGTCACACGAACTCGAGCTCCTCATCAGCGGCATTTCAGAAATTGACATCCACGACTGGCGCGCACACACCGTCTACCTTGACGGCTACACCAACCGCTCACAGGTGCATGCATGCATACGTGTGCGTGCGTGTGTGCATGTGTGCATGTGTTGTTTGAGAGAGAGTGTGTGTGTGAGGGAGTGTCGGGATGATTCTTTGTTTGTGTGTTTTGTCTCCGTCAGAACACTGCGTGGAGGCAAGGTCACGCGTGATGTGGATTGATAGTCAAGAGCGATGGTGTTGCGCTTGCGGCCTTCTTCATAGGTGTCTGCCTCTGCTCATGCACGGGTGCACTTGCGTGCCTGCATCTGATGGTTACTTTGTCTCTGTGGGAAACAGGTGATTGGATGGTTCTGGCAGGCCATCTCCTCCCTCAACATGCAGGAGCGCGCACGCGTCTTGCAGTTCGTCACAGGTGTGTGTGTGTGTGTATGTGTGTGTGTGTGTGTGTGTGTGTGTGTGTGTGTGTGTGTGTGTGTGTGTGGTCGAGCCTTCAGCCGTTTCCTCCTCTCTGCACGGTGCATTTTCTTCGCTTCCACTTTGCACAACCCATAGTTCCTTCACCACGCCCTTCACATCCTCCTCGCGTGCATCCCAGGCACATCGCGCGTGCCGATGAACGGGTTTGCTGAGCTGTACGGATCAAATGGTCTGCAGCGCTTCTGCATTGCCCGTCGGTGAGCAGTCATTCATGGTTGTCTGCGGTCTTGTTCAAGCTGTCACTGTTGCTGTGGTATTGTTGCAGTTTGTTGGGTATCATTGGATTGTTGCTGTTTGTGAGGTGTTGTTGATGTGTTCATGTCTCGCTCACACGCCCTCCTACCGTGCGCCTACGCCAACTGCTGCTGTTGTTGCCTTGTTGCCATTGTGTCATTGCATCTTCTTCGTAAAACCAGTGGCGGTCGTTCGCAACTGCCGCGTGCACACACGTGCTTCAACCGACTGGATCTCCCACAGTACCAGTCCTACGACGAAGTGAGCGCGCACGCAGTGTGTGTATGTGTGCCTCTGTGTGTATGTGTGTGCGTGTGCGTGCGACTTCTTGCAGTTATGAGGTCTCCTCTGTGTGTGTGTGTGCTGCTGTGACATCTCCTGCTCATCGTTTCCCGTGCACCACCTCACACCGTCACTCCACATTGTGTCGCATCACCACCTCTCGCTTCAGCTTCGGGAAAAGCTGCTGTTGGCAGTTGAGAACACGGAGGGATATGATGGCGTCGACTGATGGCCACACCCACACACACCCACACACACACACACACACACACACACACACACACGCACACACACACACACACACACAAGATGTACGAGCGCAGTGCATGCTAGGGCAAACTGTACTCAGCTGCGTACATCAACCCCGATTATTATGTTTTCACTTACCGCCGACTATTTGCCATCATTGATCATGATCAGTTAGACAACAGTTCACTTGCTGTGTTGGTAACAAGAGCGCAGCAATAACACACAGGCTTGAAAGAAGTAAAGAGCCGCACGCTATTGTCAATGCCTTTCATACTTCGTCAGCGATAAAATAAAAATGGAAGACATACACCATACAACCCGCTTTCGAACACAAGCAGTTCATCAAGACAAGCAGCGCTGACACACACACAAACACACACACACACACGCACACACACACACACACATACACAAAACAACACAACAGCACCAAGCTAAAGCGAGCCCAACAAGTCCTCGTCGAGGTCAAGCGCGCCGACGTCTACAGGGACCTGCTGCGACCATTCAAACAGCTTGTCTTCATCATCATCCTCTTCATAGTAATCATCATAACCGTCCACACTGCCAAACCCGCCACTGGCATCAAACACATCCTCATCGCCACCACCCACGTCACCACGACGTCTCGCAACCCCTGCACCATCACCAGCACCATCACCACCACTATCATCGCGCCATGTGCTGTGAGGTGCCTCCACCATGGTCAGTGCACTTTCCTCGTTTGCCGGGCGGCTGTGCGACCATCGTCGCTCGCTCCCTGTTCCTGCACGCTGCTCCTGGGCAGATGCAAGAGCACTCCGTGCAACTACTTGCTGCTGTGATGGTTGCTGCTGTAATGCGGATGGTTGCTGCTGTAATGCAGGGGTTGCAGGTTTTCCTGTCATTGTCGATGACAGTGAGGCTGCAAGCTGTGGCGTCTGCTGCGTCTGCGGAGTGCCCACACCATATGCGCGGCGCAGCTGATTCATGCGCCGCGCTCTGCCGTGTGCAGACATGCGTCCCGTCTGCGTTCCCGTGCGTGTGCGCGTGAGGGCGCGGTGTGCTGTTGCCGCCCGCAACTTCGCCAGCTGTCACACGGCGTCAGTGTGTGTGTGTGTGTGTGTGTGTGTGTGTGTGTGTGTGTGTGTGTATCAAGCGTGAGAGATGGGCACAACTTTCTTCTTCTGATGCCAAAGGGGGAAGATAATGCGTTCTCAACACAACCCTCTCGTCACACCACGTCAGAGTACCTGGTCATCAATCAGCACCGTCGCATTGAGCTCTTGAGTTCTGTGTTTGCATGTGTGTGTGTGTGTGTGTTCGCATGTGTGTATGTTTGCATGTGCGTGTGCGTTGAGTGAGCGCAAAAAGATGATTGCGTGATGATGGTGACGTGAACATGTGCACACGCACGCGAGAGAAGCCGCGAGCCACCTTGAGGCAACACATGAACAGCAACAACAGCAACAGACGATACAACGTACATCATCTTCAGTTCCGTGCGGCCGCCGCTTCTGACGTGTTCGATAAAGTCGTTCACCGTACTCGATGATGTTGTCGGCTCTGCAGGTTCAACACGCATGTGGTTGAGGGAACACGTGTGATGGAGGGTGGGCATACGCACATGGGTCACACAACACACACAACACACACAACACACACAATACAACACACATGCACGACAGAGAAGGAGTATGGAACGCAATGGGCGGCCGCAGCAGCTCGCCACCGCCACCACGACCGCCAATGGCAGCAGGTGAATACCACAGTACCGATGGTGTGGAGCGGGCGCCAGTCGTTTGATCGCCCACCAGACATGGCCGACTGCTTGTCCAGCGCAGTCATCACCTGACAAAACACACACACACACACATGCGCGCGCGTGTGCACCATCGGATAACCAACAGAAGGTGAGTTGAGGGCTGGTAAAGACGTTTACAAGTGGCCGTCTTCGTGCAGCAAGACGCCACACACGAATCACCACGCTCACACGCATTCACAGAATCCCACACATGTGCACACACACACGCACGCAGTTACGTACACCCGCACGCACATATACACAAGTGTGTGCACCTGCACGTATTCTCGCTCGTCGCTGACGTCGATGAGATCGCTCATGCCACCGGAGTTGACGTGCAGATACCAGTCCTCAATCACTTGCTCCATGTACTTTCGTGGGCCCATCATACTCCGCGCATCCTCCGCCGCCTGGCAATCGCAAAAGTACAACGGCAGCGGTTGCTGATTGTCATGAAATTGATTGTCTGGAATGGCGACGAGCTCTTCTGTGTTGCGGCAAGCCACGTTTGCAGCACTCGTATATGCACCCACGCACACGCATACACACCACACACGCACACGCACACATGCACGCACAGATTCGCGCGCACATCCACATGCACGTACATACATCCCGTAGATGCACATGGCCAAACAATACCCTCTCCAGGTTGCAATAATGCACACGCACCTGAGTTGATGCGCGGAAGAGCTGGCGAGCGGACATGTACTGCACCTTTGTGCCACAAGGACTCAAATATATCTGCAACCGACAGCGTGGTTGAAATGGTGGGAGGACATGAGCACATACGCACACGGTTGACATCCTAAAAACCAGCACAGCAAACTGCTTCGCGTGTGTCAAGGGAGTTGCAGAGCCAAAGGTGGAATCAGGAACAAGCAAGAAGTCCCTCCCATACGCACGCACACACGCACAAGCCGTCGCATAGACCACCTTGAAGAAGATTTGAGGGGGGTACTGGTCACCACCAAACCGAAAGCGTATGGTTGGCGAGAGTGTGGGGTCTAGAAGAAGCTCTGCTTCCGCAGGGCACAGGGTTCGAATAAAATCCACAGCATATGCCGTTTCCTGTTGTTTCATCCACGATACCACGAATTGTACCATGAGCAAGCAGTGTGGCGTCATCACTCTAAGCTCCGGGTGCCAATGGCCAGTTGGCTGACCGACCGACAAGGGAACAACACACAACATACAACAACAACACAACGACACAGAACACGGCAACACAACACGGAACAACCCAAAACACAACAACACACAAAAAGGCAACACCACGTACCGCGGCCTTAACGGCCAGCTTGAGCCGTTGAAATAGACGGCGCCATGCCACGCGCCGTACGGCACGTGTGATGATCGTGGCCGCAACGTGCTCCACGTGCCGCTGCTGCATCTCCTCATCATCAGCTCCACCCACCGCAGTGCGGTGGTGCTGCTGTTGTGGGAAGCGTCTGGTGAACGTCGTTGTCATCGGCGTTGTTGTTGTGCAGCCAAGTCCGGACGATTCATGGAAGATATCCATTAATTCTCCAACACACGACAAGACGAAGAACAACAGAACAAGCTGGCGTTGTTGGTGTTGCTGTGCTGCCTGTCCTGACCACACTCGAGTGTCTGTCTGTCCGTCTGTCCTTGTTCGTCTTCGTTTTGCTCCCATCGTTGCTTTGCTGCTGAAGTTGCGGTGTGGCATGAATGGTACATGCTGCAGTAGCACACCACCACAAATGAACATGGAGAAGGACTTGTACGTTGTCCACCAGGGCTTTTTGACCAAGCGTGGGAAAAATGTCAAGGTGAGCCATGTTGTGTGTGTGTGTGTGTGTGTGTGTGTGTGTGTGTGTGTGTGTGTGTGTGTGTGTGTGTGTGTGTGTGTGTGTGTGTGTGTGTGTGTGTGTGTGTGTGTGGTGGTGGTGGTGGTGGTGGTGGTGTGTGTGTGCGGCGACCGGCGTTCATCTGTGGACTCAGAATGGCATGCCCGTAGAACGTTCCCGTCTTTATGGGTTCGAGTTGTCGAGATCGCTAAATTTTGCGACCCTCAGAGCCACTTTGGTCCGTTCGGTCGTAGGTCGTCGTGTGTGTGTGTGTGTGTGTGTGTGTGTGTGGTGTGTGTGTGTGTGTGTGTGGGTGGGTGTGTGGGTGGGTGGGTGGGTGGTGTGTTGTAATTTTGTGGGTGCGGGGGGTGTGGGTGTGTGTTGTAATTTTGTGGGTGTGCGTTGTCATGTGTGTTGTCATGTGTGTTGTGTCTTGCTCTGTACAGCACATCATACAACCACCCTTCTCGCTTCATCCCATCCCCTCAACCCCATCCCACGCACGCGCCCACGCATGTGTAGAACTGGAAGCGCCGCTGGTTTGTGCTGAAGAGCAACGGGTCAATGAGCTACCACAAACTGCAGGTGGCACCGGAGGAGCACACGGAGCTTCCACGCGCCGCCGGCGTCTTTGTCGTTGACACGGCATGCACGATTTTGCCCCGCGAGGAGCTCAAAGTCGCAATAGACTGGGGTGACGCTGCCCCCAACACGGGCTTGTGCATTCGCACGGAGGCACGTGACTTCTACCTCACCGCCTCCAACGCCAGCGAACGCAAGATTTGGATGCAGCGCCTGCGCAGCGTGCGTGACTTGACACGTCGCAAGCTTGGCGCAGGCAAAAACAACGTCTCCTTCAGATCCACCGCATCAGACGACCACATTCAGGTGCCTGTCGTGTGTCTGTCTGTCTGAATGTTTGTTTGTGCGTGTGTCTGTCTGTATGTTTGTTTGTGCGTGTGTCTGTGTTTGTTTGTTTGTTTGTTTGTTTGTTTGTTTGTTTGTTTGTTTGTCTGTGCATGTGTTGGCTTGCGTTTGGTTTGTGTGCGCCTGAAGTGAAGTGAATCTTGGAGTGCCTTGTGCGGCAGCCTCTCCCTCTCGCGCACGCGCTCACAATGTGCTGTATTGCTGTCACATAACCCCGGTTGCGATCACAGACGACCTCGGGCCAGAACCGCCCAACCCAGCGCCCGACAAGCTACTCCGACGCATCGCAAAACCCGCGGCGATCACGTGAGTAAACGGATGCCATTCGACTCTGGTGTCTGTTGGGAGCGCCGCATGCAAATGTGTGTGTCCTTCACTCTCTCACTCTCTCTCACACACTCTCTCTCCATGTACACATCTCTCTCACTCTCATGCCAACACACACACACACACACACACGCACACGCACGCATTTCCCCGCACCCCACATGCCAGGAGTGCTGGGCGGGCGTGATCACGCTGATGACGGCAGCGACGCTGTCAGACATGCACGGCACCGCGTGGCGTCGCAATTGACAGACACGAGTGACGATGACGGGGACTGTACAGAGGCAATAGGCATGGACATGCGTGAGGATGCTGACCACGGCGGTGGGGTTGTGCACACGGTGAGCCACGACTTTACAACACCCGCGACGTCGCAGCAGGAGGTGTTGCCATTGGGTGGCGGGTTCAATCTCAGCGCAATCGATGATGAGGACGATGATGATGACGGCCAGGACAACGCAGCCAACCACGAGGTGTGTACACAGTGTGTGTGTGTGTGTGTGCGTGCAGATGTGTGTGTGTGTGTGTGCATCCG